GATTTTCACTTAGCAAATGCAACTTTTATCAAGATTTATTGCATGAAAAACTTAATTCGGTTAACTTCGTTCAGGAGAATTCGAAACTTTTGGAGAAAACAGGGAAATGTGGAAAGTCTCATTCAAGACATGATAGGTGACGTTAATCATAGTTTAATGTCGCACTAGTGCGGTATATTATTCTAAGAAAGGTTAAGCTGTAATTAAGATAAGTGTTTTACGAAATGAAGTTTTTATCTTCTAGTTTGGAAGGGAGAGGAAAGTTAAGCTCGTAGAAAGTTGATGCTTAGAGAAGGCCGAGGCTGAAGAACTTCGGTGTTGTTTCTGAAGAAACTTCTGACCCATCTCGAGAATCGTGAAACGGCTTTACTCGATCCCTTCGTACTCCGGAGCGAAAAAGCGCGGATCTCGTTCGGAAACGTGACACGGCGAACCGTATCTCATTCTCATGCCGCGTAAATCTGGTATATGGTGGCGAGGATTTAGCAAAGTCTCACGTGAAGAATTGCAGTTGAGAGGAATAGAAGCTCGATATCATTCTCATATACGTCTCCCTGTTTACGTAAAAGAGCTTTTCCCGCTGAACTGGCAAATCGTTTCACATAAACAAACAAATCTTGTCGATCTGATTTACGGAATGGGAATTTTAATATCCGATTTTTCCGTGCGATAACGCACGTCCCAAAGGCACTTTTGCTCGACCGTGTGTGCACGATTTCCTGGAAAAATTTGCGATTCGATGATAGGAGCGGATGAAAGAGCGTATTGGACACCTTGGATATTTCCCACAGCGAATATTCCGCGACCCGACACTTGCCCGCTAGAATTTACGGAATGCAGTTACCGCGAGGACTACGTGTCAGCGTAACTTCTATATATATATATACATATATATATACAATAGCACGCTTCACAAGCACGGTTATCGAATCGCCGTATCCGTCCGACAACATCCGTTTGTCCTTCCCAGCCCGGGTTTCTCCGATTGCGAGATCGCGAGATCAAAGAAAGGAAAAAAATCGACGGCCATTTTTCCGTCCGTTATCGCCGATATCGCGAATCGTGTCCGGATATAAATGTGAAATGTCGGCCACACGGACCGTCCGCACAAACGACCCTTCGTGCCGATAGGGCCGGAAGATTGATAGAGGGAGATCCATGCCGGGCTGTTTGTCGAAGGTAGGACATAAGAACCTACGCGAATACTATACGTGCCGGCGATATCTTTGACACGCATCGCTTATCGCGAGAGCCTTTGGTATATCACGGATATTGGACGCTTCGGCAAGGTAAAAGGTTTGTTCCAGCGGTATCGATGTCTTCGGCCCGATGCCCGATAAAAGTGACTACGAGACGAACGACCGCGCGCACGTAGAGTCGTACGTCTATCCATGAACTCAATTCAGTTATTCATTCATCAGATCTAGCCAGTTTGTGCTATTCTCGGCGTAGGCGCCTCATTCTCTTTTACGTCGTTTCCAATACAAATCTTTTTTGTTATTATACCTTATCACTGTTCGACATTTGCTTCAGAGTTCTTCGGAGATACCGGTCTCTCACCGATCTTACGATCTTCGTAATCCCGTTATTTTTAATCCGATTCTTCATTCAGAACTCTAACTAGATTTCGGAGTTGTTGAAGTCGTCCTTTGCGCTCGGAGTAAGAACTTCGAGTAAAGGTCGCGTGCTATGCGCCGTGCCTTTCTGCTGTGTTTGCAATGAAGTATCTTCAAGTCCGAAATAAGCCGCAAGAATGTCATTATCTTGAGAATCAATATTCTTAATGCGGAACTGTCCTACGCGTTTGGCTCTTAGCTGAATTTGCTTACGTAGAGAAAGGGAATTTTCCGTTGCTATTTCGTCTGTTTCTTTATTCCGACGAAAATACATGTGATTATTAGTCTTTTATTAACGCTCTTATGTAACGTCTTTCAAAAATATCAAAAATATAAAAACAATTGTCTCTCAATATGAAAAAATTCTTAATTCTTTTGTGCGTCAATAGCGCACAAAATTGGATAGTGTTATTAATTAATTGATTTTTTTCGTGTTTAAGTATTAGATTAATATTGGGTTAAATTAAAATTATATTAATTTACACCGTTTCATAACTAATTAAAATAAATAAAGTTTAATTAAGAAACTTTGAATTAATAAATAAAAATTACTCATTAGAGTATGAAGAATAACAATAAAATAATAATTAAGAAGTATATATTTTTACGAAAGCGCTATTTCGTTCAAAATTAGAATAAAAAAAAAATAGTCTTCCGAAAACTTTACTTTAAAAACTATTATGCTTTTGAAAGCATACTTTGTCACTTGCTGCAGTCATCATCTATATTTGACTTCGGTATCGCAACGTACATATAATTATTTCCAGTGACATATAATTATTTCCACAGGTGTGACAACTATCTGCAAGTTGTGACGTGTATCATTTATCGTAACAGACAATAAGTGCGTGTGTATCCAGTGTTACGTTATCCCGAAGTATTTAAAGGACTGCCGAAGTGGCGCATAAACGTACACAGAAGACACGTTAGATCACATTTCATTTGTACCGCTCTGTGTATATCGGTGATCTCCTATTCGACATCGCTCAATATCTACTTCGGCAATCGACCGGGACGTCAAGAGATAGAGACAGAGAATTCAAATTACCACACGGCGCGAGAGACGTTCTTTGTAATTGATATTCCCCAGCTACACTGCGGAATATAAAGCATCAGCTACCGGCGGTAGCGTAACAGTATCCAAAAACAACTCGAGCCACGTCGCCACGTAATCGAGATTCATCAAACAATTTCACGACACCTGTAGTTCCAACCGACCGATCGACCCTCGCCGACGTTTGCGACGTGCGGCAATTCCGTGCCGCAATTTGGCTTGCACAAGCCGCAACAGCGATGCGGGTGCCGACACTCGTCGTCATCGCCGGCTGTTCAACGACATTATGATGATGATGATGATGCTACCTACTAAATGGGAACACATACCAAGCCGGTCTCCTAGTGGCGCATGCTCTATGTGATAAATAAAATACCGGCGTATAGTTGTGCACAGTCATACTGTTAAATTGTACATAATACGTAAGAGACGTCGCGTCGCGAAAAAAAGAAAAACTGGGAGAAAATGCTGTGCTTGGATATCAAACTCGTTTCGCGACTGCGGGGTGTCTCCTTCGGGACTGCCTCGTCGTCAACCGCGTCATCAGCGCACCCGGCGACGGGTGCCTCGGCCTCGTCATCCTCGACGAGCGCGGGCACCGCGGAGAAAAGTAAGTCGCGCAGAGTGAAACGCCACGAGAGCGGCGAGGTCGCCAGCTCGGCCTGCACGACCAGCGACAGCGAGGAGGAATCGTTGCGACCTAGTTCGACCGTTCAGGAGATGATACGCAGGAACAGATCCAGATCGGTGTGCGTGGCGGCGATCCTGCCGTCCTCGCAACTTAGGCAGCTACATCGACGCGCCAGTCATGTGTACGTTGGCTCTAAATGCGGGCGATGTTAACGCGAAGCCGAAAATTGCGAGTCGAGTTTAACGAGTTGCTGACTCGGCTTCTCGATGTTCCCATTTACCTTCTTCTTCGAGAAGGCCGCGTGTAACTCGTTATTCTCTCGACCGTTCGACTTATCTTCCTATTTGCCGCGTGAACTCGTACCAATTTACTCCGCTGACTTTTTTTATTGCCTTTTATTGAAAAAAAAAAAAAAAGAGTAATTTGCTACTTGTTGCTTGACCTTTCTCTCATTTGCTTCACTCGGAAACCAATAAAACCATGTCGCTGAAACGATCTAACGGGCAACGCTGTTGCGAAACCCGCGACCCATATGCGAATCCCCGAATCTTGAATAGTAACCGTTCCTCTTTGTCTCTTTCATACTTTCATGTAACGGCCTCTCCCGATTACCCGGCCAATTCGACCTCGACGTAGCTTCTCGTTAACCTAGATATTCATGTCGTGAAAAATGAGAAGCGCGAGAGGGATTGAGTTGGCGAATGAAGGGGGATGCCATCGTATATTACGTTCACACTACGAGATAGATGCGATTCGCTCGCCGGGGGATGATTGTATTTGATCGGGATACATTTAGTGAATCAATGATAATTATCCTGCCGATGGCATTTTACCGTTTAATCTTCCGTGCGAGAGAGAATACCGAGAAACGCGGTCCCACAACCGTCGCTTTCAGTTTTAACGATACATTATTTGCTCAATGTAATAAATTCTCTCGTTTTTTTAGGAAAAATTCTAGGAAGTATATTATCCTTTTATTGCCGTTTCTCTGAACATTTAATATTAAACCAATATTAAACATCTCGGTAATTCAATTGTAATTTAAACCTCTAGAAAAATCGCTTGATTTCAAATGAGGACGTTTATTTATGTCATAATAATTTTACTTAAAAGAAGATGAAGTTCAAATTGGTCAAAGAATTGATCTCTGTCATTAAAATTAAAGGCGAGATTGTGGAGACATTTTACGATGAGCACAGAAATCGATTCGCAACGCGGGATTAATTTTCAGGTTGACAATTCGAGCAACATTTCTATAGGAAGTTTTTTTTTAATCCACATAATTTTCAAATAGCCAACGACGCGTTAGAAGCATCGCGGAAGGGCGCGGTGAGGCTGATAGAAAAACGTACGTGTTCTCGGCCGAGAATGCCGTTCACCGCGGCGGACGAGGCGTGCCTTTCCTGGTGTGAACGATTCCATAAGAATGCGTATACACATGTAGTAAAAGAAGCTATAAAAAACGTTTACGCGCCGAGTGAGATCATTTGTTTCTGTATAGTGCGGATCATTTCGTTAAAAGAAAAAAATATTGCGTAAAAAAATCAAATCAAACGTGGTTTACGTAGCGCACAGCTTTGACGAACACGATCCGGTAAATTTTAATTAAGCGTCTAGTGAAAAATCTCCCGAGATAAAATTACATCCTCGCGGCAAGCTCGGGTTACATCTAAAATCATGAAAAATAACCGTGTTTCAGATCCACCACGGACGCGATAGCGAGGCGAGGCGTTCTGTCGAGACGATGTTACGGCAGTGTCGAAATGGTAAGGAAACAATGAAAGTAGATACATATGTATATATCTAGGTAAGAGCCTCGCTCTACTTGTCACACAAGGGTCTTAGCCGTATGTGCGCAAGTACTTGCGCAAGGTAAACGCTAATCACTGCGATAAAACGAACGAGCGCCCTATGATAATTTGCGACACGTCCGCGGTAAGCTGATTATATTGTTTCCCTCTATCTTGCTGTTTATCTATTGATTTGCTTATCGCATAGTTCGCCGAAGCTGCACCCGGGCTGTGTGCTTGGCTCGCTTGTTAATATACAACGTCGCAATTTATGTTCAGACGCGACACAATTTTACCAGAAAATAGAAAAGAGAAAAATTATTGCTTGAAATAATTAGAAATCCTATATCAAATAGAATTTCAATCGAAAATATAATGCACATATTTAATAAATCTGTGGGTGAAGAGTATACCACTTTGTATTTTCAATAAATAGTCTCGTGGAATTGTGTTTTCTCTCTCTCAAAGGATTTGAATTTTATATTTAATTTTCCAACTTTTCCGTTTCTTTAGAAACATACGTTTTGTTCGGTCTACTTTCAATTCCTTCACGACGCCGATACTTTCAATCACAGATGGAAAGCATCTAAATTTTTTTAGAATTGGTTCATGGACGACAGAGAGAGAAAGAGAGAGAAAAAGAGAAAAAGAAAGAATAAATATTTTTCAATAGAATTTGATTATGTTCAGTTCAGTGAAAATAAAATCGAATTCTCAAAATCACAGATCATTTATAACGTCTACACGAAAAGATTTTAAGGTCCGAATCCGATTTTAGGTTTTTGCGTTTCTACTTTCAATCGCGCGCGACTCGAGGCCTTCGGATTACGATTCGCAAATTCGAAACTGGAGCATGTTGACATTCGCGCCGACATTCTATATGCTATATGCGCTCGCTAATCGCGACGCTCGAAACTGTCTTTCTAGCTGCCGCAGATCGAACAGGACGGCGCCGACAATGGCAGAAGATTTCGAGTGGAGAACGGAGACTCTCCCGGGGAAAAGGAAGAGGTGAGGGAGCGTTCGCTTAATGATGAAACGATCAACTTCTTTCTTCTAACCACTCGAGATTCGTCCCGTTTCGCGTAATTGCTCGTTCTTACCTCGTTTCTCGCCTTTCATCGTGCATCCCACTTTCTACCACGGATTATGTTTGTAACGATGAACGATTTTTACGTTGACAGATGTTTGGCTCGCCGAGTACGCCGATATTAGAAAATCCGGAGTACCAAACGCGTTGGTACTTTAAGTACTTCTTGGGCAAACGTAAGTTGAACGTTGGGCTTACCTGTAACATAGCGATTATACCGTCGCAATTAGAATAATTATAATAAATGTTCAGTACTGCGTTTCAAGGCTTCACCGGCAAATAATTGGCGCGCAGTTTGCACGAATTAGAAAATGTATGCAAATTTACGCAAAAATATTATTATTAGGCACTCACTTCGACCGAACAGGCTTATTTCTACTTATTGTTAATGTATTATTTTGCTTAAAATATCTCTGTCCACTATTCACGGACACCCTAATTTCTCAAATCGTGTTTTCTTTTCGTGTGTAATGTCGCGGAAATATGATGGAAAATTCCATCAGCGTTCCCATTTATGTAAATCGATTTACGTTCTTTATTCGCTCGACCGAGTTAATCATTTTTGCTTCTAATGAAAATTTATGCATAGAATACTATATTTCGTATTTTTTTTTGTAATGACTCGTAGATGCAAGAGTTACAAAAGTTACTTACGATAGACGATTTAATACATTCAAGGATTATACAAAATAAAAAGAATATTGATTAATTTTATTTATGCACAGTGCATCAAAATTATATCGCTTCTGATCAGGAGAGAAATCCTCTCTTCCTCTCGGTAGTCACGAGCGAAGTCGGTGATCAATGCGTACCACACTACAGAGTTATTCTATGGAGGCGAACTGTGAGTAGCTATCATGCATTATTTAGTAGGGGAAGGGGGAAGAAAGATCCCTCTAGAGACAAATTTATGAAATTATTTATGTTACCATAACTTTTCCTTTCTTTCTCGTTTTTTTTTCTATTCCCTTTTTTTCTTTTTACCCATGTCAGCATTGCGGGAAATTCCTTTACGTCAAATTATTTTTTATAGATATTTTTTATAGACAAAATACTTATTGCAATTTGCTGATGTTAAAATCGATATCTATTTATATATATCTTTGTAATATCCAGTTCCTTTGCACATGAATATAAGATGAATAGATAAGATATTAGATTTTACGTAACTCAGGCCGCTTTTATTGTAACATACTTCTTGGTAGACTTGCGTACTTCCAAGAATAAAATTATGAATCGTGAATGTAAAGGCAATGATAATAAATTGAGAAATGTTTTGTGTAGGGCGCGCAGAAAATATCATTGCCGTATTCGGCGAACAAAACCATGACTATCAGACAAATTCTCAGGTAACTATCTCTATGTCCATGAACCGTGAAGAATACGAGTAATCTATTATTTATTGACGTTTCAGCAATTTCTTCAGTCTGGAGAAACTCGACAAGGCGCCGCGAGAAGTCTTCACGCCCGAGCTGCAAAAGGTACGTTTACAATGGGTCTCATGACCGTTTCACGCTCGGGGATGTGGCGTCATAAAGGAGGTACGGATTAATTCAATGATCCTTCGCAGGATCTATTACTGCTGGAGGAACAGGAAGGCTCGGTGAACTTCAAGTTTGGCGTAATCTACGCGAGGGAGGGACAGACCACCGACGACGAGATGTTGTCTAACGGTAAGCCCCGCGTCGGAAGTGTCGGCGAAAACAAAAGACAAGTCTATAAAGTGGGGATGGGAAATTAAGTGACAATAGATAGCATTATCGATCCCTGAGGAAACGTTTCTCATTGCTCGCAGAGAGAGGTAGCCCGGGCTTCGAGAGCTTCCTGGAGATCCTAGGTGAGAGGATACGGCTCAAAGGTTGGGACAAATATAGGGGCGGCTTGGATGTGAAAGGTACGCTGATGACACGGAATATTGGCAATGCAAACTCGAGATCTGCAATCAGAAAAGGCCTGCAATCGTCATTCGCCTCTTCAGATTTGTTACACTGGCGGGATTTGAAAATTTTTTTTACTGCCCTTTCTCCAATTTTTCCGCGACTAACGAATTCGTTTGATTACTTTTCATATATTATACTACATATTTTTTACGAATGTAACTGTAATAATACACATACATAAAAATATATATTGAAATGTCGATAAATAACATTGCCGATTGAACAAGCCTTTCTTTCAATTATTTTTCGTAGGCTTCTTGGCTTTCCGTGTGCAACAGTCATGTTACGAATAAACCCGTACTAACCCAGAGAAAATCTCTTCTTTATACCTCCGCGATTCTACTCGTATGTTCCGTCGTTTTTCAGGGGATATGACGGGCAAGGAAAGTTATTACACGGTTTATGCAGGTCACGAAGTTATGTATCACGTTAGCACGATGCTACCGTATTCGAAGGACAATCCGCAGCAGCTCGAAAGGAAAAGACACATTGGCAACGATATCGTTAACATCATTTACACGGACGATCCATCAGCCGTGGATACTTTCAATCCGAACTGCATAAGAAGCCAGTTTACCCGTAAGTTAAGAAAAATACCACGATAAGGTCATACGAACAATATTTCAAACTGAGCTTCGCCTATTGTTGTTTACATAAAGAGCACAGAGAGTTAAAATACCATATAACGCAGTGATTCTCATTCTTCTTATATCTTCCTTTTTTTCCTTTTTACGCCTACATATTTTGTTCGCGTTCCTTTAAACTTCAGTACGTACGTTATAACGTACGTGCTATAGTATCGTGCACTCGATTTACCTCCATTATGTTATACCTCCAATTACAGTGCAAATATAGTTTCAGAAATTGCCATTAAAATTATTTTATCCATAATTTTTATTGTTCCTTGTTAATTATTAATCACAAACTGATCAAAAAGAGTAGAATAGAATAAAAAAAATTGCTAATGTAATTGTATAAAAATTATTTAACCACATTATATGAAGCTACATAGAGCTATATAAAATAAAATAAAAGATCATTAGCTGGATATCAATTCGTCTCTTATTACTTAGACGTGTTCGCCGTGGTGACGACCGAGGCAAACGGTAAGGGTTGGCGGGTCGCTATTTATTGCGACGAGAACGTACCCCTGTTCGGTCCGAGCCTTCCGTGCCCGCCGGTTTTCGAGGACCCGTATAATCTCCGGGAATTTCTCCTTGTTAAGTTGATCAATGGCGAGAAAGCTACATTTGACACGCCGACATTCTCCAGGAAAAGGGAAAGAACTCTCGACGCCCTGTTGCGAGACATGTATCAAGAGCATTCGCAAGACAGCAAGAGCAACGTAAGCTACTTAACATCGGAGCCACTTATTCTCGCTTGTTTTTCCTCCACATTCCATTAATTTTTACTTACAATCACTATGATAAAACGTATATAACGCAATAATATTGATATTATTATACATATAATATCAATATTTAGTCTTTTAAAAATAATATTAAATATAATATTAATGTATGTAATTTATTTAAACGCTATCTTTCCTCTAAAAATTTCCTATAGAAAATTCTTTCCTAAGAAGGAATAATGTTAAATAAACAAAGCAAAAAGGGTAATGTGTTAAAAAAAGATCGATTCGATTTTGTAACAGAGCATGCTAAATCGCCGAGCACTCTCGGACGTCGTGGAGGCACCGGGTCGACGGCGCGAAGAGACGCGCGCCGTCGAGATGGTGCGAGTCGGACAAGCCTTAAAATTGGAAGCTATCATGCGTGGCCTCGCACCCACCTCTCTCGCCACCGTCGGCCCTTTGAAGCCCAGACCATGGGAACCGAGATGCATCTACCCCGACTTTCCCCACGAGGTCGTCTGCGGCGATGTCTGGCTGGAAAACAGGCTGATCCTCGCTTCGGAGAACGGGACGTTTCTCATCGAAGGTAATTCACGAAACGTAAATTATCTCGGAACCTGATTGCCCGAGATCTAACGAGACACAATTTTCTCGCGCGATTGAATGGATAATCAAAGGACTCGATTGTTGCATCAGACAACGACGAAAGTGTAGTGTACACGAAAAGCGGCAGTTAGTAATTTATCGAAGAACCAAATTGTACGAATTATCGCAACAAACAAAAGCTATACTATCGGAAATGTTACGAGAGTTTTTCAAATAAATTTCAACAATTTTCAAACTTCAAGTTCTAAATTCACGTAAATTCCGACACGTTTACTGATCTCCTTTCGATTCTCTTTTCAGACGGGGTTTCGCACAGATTGCTCTTCGACGAGTCGGTGCAGATCAAGCAGCTCGACGTGGTCGAGCAGCACGGCATACTCCTGTTTCGCGCCGGCGACAAAGGCAAGGAGAGCAGCGTCTACGTTTTCCGGCTGCGAGAGTTCGAGAGCGACCCGTCCGTGAGATGCGCCGAGCTGTTCAACGATCGCGAGAACGACGACCGGGAGAAGGAGGAGGAGGACGACGACGAGGACGCCGAGGACAATGACGATGACGATTGCGACGAGGACGACGCCGACGAGTGCGATAATTTCACACGTGCCACCGCCAGGTTTCAGTCGGTGGGACGTCCGCGAGCGCGGTTGCGCGTTCGCGCCCCGGCCGTTCGGAGCCGAGCGCATATCAAGGAGAGGAAGCTGCGGCGTACGCGGGGATGTAACTTGTACAGCATCACGAGACCCGGGGGATCGCATTTGCGCATGGTAAGAAAGCATGACGAGTCGGGCAGTTGGCGGAAAAGAAAAAATCTGACAACGCGACTTATCAAGTTTATTTACTTCCGCGCGAGACACTTAAACGTGTCTCTCCTGCTTTTCTTTCTGTTCTACCATTATTATTTTAAATTTATACTGCGAGATAAATAATGTGATTGTGGCGCGAAACAGTGCGTGGTCGTCGGTCGCAAACTCACGATCCTTCAGTGGAAGCACAACGCAGCCTGGACCATCTGGTGCTCGTCCGCCGACACCGACACCATCGACGGTTTTCTACTACTGAAGGAATTCACCGCGAGCGAGACACCCTCGTTAGTGACGATGATCGAGAGCGTCGATCCGGCGAACGAGTGGACGCTCTGCTGCGGCGCCCGTCATCACTTCGAATTGATCTCGGCTACCGGCTCTTCGAAGATAATCCACATAGAAGCGACGCCTAAGTCACACTTGGTGGCGGCGTTGGATCTTCGCGAGGACGAGGAGCCGGAATTATTACTTTGTTACAACAGTAGGTCGCGTTTTATTCCTTAATCCGAGATATCGATCTCTCAAACTCACAAGAGCTAATTCATAATTCGTCTTGTTTATATACAAGAAGTACATCAAGAGATTTCAGAGAATATCTATTTTTAATACTATAATTATCGATAATTATATATGTCTATTCCTACTACTTAAATATACCACATGTATATATACATGGAAAAAATTATATTGTGTTAACATTAGCTAAACAATAGTATTTTTTTATTAAATTTATGATGCATCTTTTGATTTTCCATTGATTTTTATTGCAATATGTAAAAAATTAAATTGATTAATTTAATCTCCTTTTCATATCTTTTCCCAAAAACACACGAAAAAAAAAAGATGTATCACAGCATTAGCCGATCTAATTGAAAATAATCTTGCTCATTCAATAATAGTATTAATGAAACAATATTTTATTAGAGCAAGAGCATGATGTATTTGTTTTATTATTAATACTGTCATTAAATTAACAAAACTATTATCAATTAGATCGGCTGTAATAAGTACATTTTTTTTCTTGTATTTTAGGAAAAGATATGAAAAAAAGTAAATTGATCGATTTAATCTTTACATGTTGGAATAAAAATCGTAGAAAATCTCAAAAGATGTATAGATTTAATGTCATAGATGTCATAGAATAGATGTCATAGATTTAAAAAAAATACAAACCAGCCATTTTGACGGCTTTGATAGTTCTAGTGTTAATTATCTTTCTGATGTTTCAATTAGAGAGTTAACAATCTATAATACACAAATGCCTATCGATATTCAACTTTTCTTCCCTTAGATACATGTCACTTTCAAAAGCTGGTAGAAGAGAACGCTGCGCCAACCGAATTCGATTTTAATTGGAATTCGATGCCGACAGCCGTAGGTGAGACAATTTAACATTACTTACAACACGCAAATTATATATCGTACAGTATATAATCATAATATAACGCTGTAAGATAAAACGGCAGAGTTAATCCCTTATTAATTTTCAATTACTTAAACAGCGTGTATAGACGTCTTCCTTGACAGACATTGCATTTGTTTGTGAGCAGCCTGTGCCTTTCCATACGTGATCGCCTTCACTAATGACACGATGGAGATTCGATTGATAATAAACGGCAACCTGGTACACACGATCTCCATGCCCAATCTCAACCTGATCACCTCGAAGCGGGACATCTTCTTCGCGACCACGGCGCCGGAATTTCTTCCAGGCAAATGCGAGCGAATCCGCTTGGACTCGAAGCCCCTCGAGAAGGAGGAAATGCCTTCCAGCCCACCGCAGTCTTCGTCCTCTTCTCGATCGAGCGTCCAAAGTACGTGCGGTCTTTGTATACGTCATTCCCTTGCCCCCGTTATAAGACCCGAAATCCTCATCGATCCGATCGCTATCTCCGAATGCCATGACAAACGTATTGAGGTCAACCCACCCCGAATCTCGGGGGGGCATCTTCCTTTCGCAGACAGTCAAGGCGACTGGAAGCCGATAAGGATCTATCGGATACCGCTGCAGACGCTGTCGAGAAGCACAACGTCCAACTGCAGTCAGAGACGATGTCCGAGCCCAGTGGAGCCGGAAATCGTCTCCGCGCCACCGACCTCCGACAGGACCTTCCTGAGCGTCGAACCTCAACGTACGCAGAGCAGATCCTGCAGCAGCAGTCCTACACCCACACCGACCACGAATTTGCCGTCGCCATGTAAAAAATAGACGCCGTAGTTGTTCTAGGTGCTCGCCGATCGATTGCATTAATTGCGATCTTAACAGGATCGGTCACGTAAAAGGAAAAAAAAGAAAAAAAAAAGAAATAATAAGAAACCGACCGCACGTACCTGATTTCTCGTCCCCGTACGAGAGAACATATGGAAATTTTTGTCATTGTTATGCTATTAGCGCGTGCGTCGCGCTGCATGTATATCTTGAATGCAAGCGCGACCGCGCGTATGAGTTATTGTTTAGATAGAGATTTTGACAAGGACACATGTCTTAATTACAGAGGGGCATAATTATCATTTTTCTTCGCGTTTTTCTCTCGCTGTTCTACTATTGTTATTTTAATTAACGCTCTGTCGCAGCATTTGCATGTTATTTTCTCCTTGTTCTATATTTTAATACACATAAAAAAACCTTTAGAATCCAGATTAAAAAAAAAGACAATCGCGGATAATAAATCACGTTCTACGATGATCCTCTTATTCTCTTATATTTCTCTTTTAATTTTCTTTTTTTTTACGTATATGCATGTATGTATAGTACAATGCAAAATAAGCATTGATTTCATGGCAATATCCCGCAGGATACCTCTGTATTACCTAAATTAAATCGATTTCATTTCGCGTCGTCCGTAATTAAAGACTCGGTGGCGTCTTGGCGTGATAACGACGATACTTTAGACACACCGTTTTACTTCTGGATTTTTTCTAAGTGACATTGTGCATTGTAGCTTCTCATTGTTTCGAAACCGGTCTTAAATAATAGGATTCAGGCTTAGTGACCGTAACGGTCGACGGCCGAAAATATTTCTAACTCCGACAGTCGACCTGAGTGTGAATCAAATTTAACACGCACTTAATACGTACGGAAAAAAAGGGCATTTTTCGGATGTGCGTTGGCCCGATGAATCACGCGTTTCTCCGAATGTAAGAGAAGAGACACGCGGAGAATGCTGTCGGAGAGGATGATTGTGCATGGTCGATCGATCCCCCCGATGATTAAGACCGTCGGGCTACGCCGCGCGCATCCGGACTTATTTTTATTTAAATAAAAGGTATAACATTATTTCCGACATGAGTGTCGATGTTTACGCGTCATGTGTATATAATATAAAGTATCGAATAAAGTATATGTTACCGTTGCATTTCCACCGAAAAAAAAAAAAATGATAAAGCAGTATTTTTTCAATACTTCACGCGCCTTCTCTTTCCATCTTTGATCGTCATTTTAAGATATAATTATATAATATATTATATTTTATAATATAATATATATAATAATATAATATAATATAATATATTTATAATTAATATATTATATTTTATAATTATATAATATATTATGTTATGTAATTTTATAATTTTAATTTCTATAATTTTAAGATGATATCTATTCAATATTTAACAAATTTATTTGATCGTTTTACGTTAATTTTATAAATATATATTGTCTCGCTATATAATCTTTTGTGTTGGTTGGGATGAATCATTGCTACTTTAAATAAATTTCCGTACTTGTTAAACTGAATTTCGCTGTTGCAACTATAGATTCGATAACGATAATGTAAGTGTTATAAGCGATTTACTTGATAAATATCATCTCGTTGTATTTTTGTCAAAGTACACGATAGCATAAATTTTCTGAGGAATTAAATTTATGAGAGAAACACGAGTATATATGTATATCGTTATTACCGTTTTTATCTTGAGATCATCGTGAAACGATGTATAATTGCACCGAAATTTCGAAAAAAAGAGAGAAATTAGGGGATTACTCACGAGAAGCGTCATCTAAAATCAAAACGTTTCCTTCATCGACAAATTCGATCGTCGACTCGCGCGAGTCGAGAAGCCGATTGTAGACTCGGGGAAGCGTGGCATTCGAACGGCGATTCCGGTCAGACTGGAGCATTGAACCGTGACGCGATTTTCGTTTGTTTAACATGCGTTTTCCGCTGTGAGTCTGCTGGCGATTGGGTACCACGCTCGATCGGAATCCATGTATCATCAACTTTGTACTCCGTACGTCGTTCTTTTCGACGAGACGAGAATTATCTTTCGAAAGCAAAACGCGAGGCACCCGGAAAAGTCCGTCTTTAAATCGACAATTTCCAAGAATCGAATAAAGTATATCTCGCGAGATACCGGTGCTTTCTTTTTTCGCGTGCCGCGAGCCCCCATGATTTCCGCCCCGTCGCGAGACGATTACAATTCGCCGTATAACAATTTTCATTGGAATCGCGTTATCGAGTTTATCGCGTAAACGCGCGACTCGATACGACAGCGGAATTTACCGCGCGAACGTTTACGGCGCGCGGCGCCTTATCGCGAAAACTTTCCATTTTTTTACGCGCGGCCCGCTGTTATGCGGAACATACGATCGCACACGTAACCCGGACGTTTCAGCGCACGCGGCAGGCCCCGTTCGTAACCGCCGCAACCAGCCGACCGCCATGTCGGCCGGCGAGCGGCCGAAGGCGACCGATGTCGGCGCGACGCGCGCGTCGGAAGTCGGAACGGCCGTCGGCGGTGTCGGCATCGCGCGGCGATGTACTGTACTATCGGCATTGGCTTCTCGGCGCGCACGGTCACCCGCGAGAGAAAAAGAGAAAGAGCGCGAGGTACAGGGACGGGGCGAAGGAAGGGGGCGGCGGGGGAGAACGCACTCGCGGAGGAGCGAGCGAGAGGGAGGGAAAAGGAAAGGAAGAAAGGGAGAAAGAGAGAGACGCAGGTACGAGGGCCACACACACGGAAGGTCCGCGAGACGAGAGAGCGAGATGTGGGAGGGAGAGAGGGGGTGGGGTGGGGGGAGAAGGAGAGAAGGAGAGAGACGGCCGAGCGAGCGAGCGAGCGCGAACTCGTGGTGTGCGGAGGTGCCACCAGCCGGAGTAACAGCGGAGAGTCGGAGGTGGCCCGTGCCTGTGGCTACCCGTGACCGCCTGTGGCTCGAGCCCTGTGTAACTCGTCGCCGTTGTAACGTGACGCGCGCGCGAGAGGAGGTGCGTGTGCGAGAGGAGGACGCGTTACGCGCCCGGAGTTCGTTCGCCCGTTTTACCTCCGTTGTCCGGAGGTCGCCGCGCCGCCGCTGCCGCCGCCGTCGCGTTCATCGGAAGCAACGGCGCGAGGTGCTCTGCCGCCGTCTCTCTTACTCGCTCCTCTCTCGTTTTCTTTCTTTCTCTCTCTCACACACACACAACACCACACACACCGCGCGCGCGCGCGCTCTCTCTCTCTCTCCTTCTCTCTTCCTCTCATTCTCCGTTCCTTTTCCTGCCTCGATCTTTCTCCCTCTCTCTCTCTCTCTCTCTTTCTCTTTCTCGTACACACGCGGAGTGTGATCGGTACAGTGTGCGATCAGTGCGACGTGATACGTTCTCGCTCGTGGATCGCCCTTCGCCTGTGCTTCTCGCGCGACAGAATAGGTGCTCGCGCGTACGTCATTGTGAAAAAGACTGTCAGGAGTGCCTTACTAAACTTCCTCCCCCCCTTGAGCTGTGGCTGTCGTACGACACACGTTCACCGTCACCGTCACGGCGAGATCGTCCGAGTGAAGCAGGAGAGAAAGACGGGCAGATAAGAAGAGAAAGAGAGAGAGAGAGAGAGGAGGAAGGAAAGAGAGAAAGATAGCGCCTCGACGCTCGTCGGACGACAGAGGTAAGAGTGCTTGCCGTGTTTTTGTTTCGGAAAAAAAAGCGAAACGGTAACATACATCAAAGAAGTCCGTTCGCCGTGCGACTCCGACGGCACAGACGTACGGAGGTTATGTTTCCCGATGACCCCTCGACACCCCCCCCCCCTTCGCGTCTCCTCCAGCTCGCTCCTCTCTACCCCTACCCTCGCAGCCACCCTCTCCCTCCTCCTTCTCGCCACGCTTTTCCTCTCTTTCTCGCCGCGTCCTTTTCGTGGCTTCGCCCTTCTCCTCCGTCTATCTCCTTCTCTCTTTTTCTCCCTCTCGCGTACTTTGTGTCCCCCCCCCCTCTTTCTACCTCACCTTCTTTTTACGTTCTTTTTCGCGTTAGACGGTGAGGCGGGCGACGTGAAAGATCCAAAGTTTCGACGAGATCCATGGCTCGGCCGCGATCGCGCACCTGGCGGCGATTTTCATTCGCAACCGCGCTCCGAGCTCCGACACTTGGTTACGCGTATGCTCCTCTCTCTCTCTCTCTCTCTCTCTCTCTCTCTCTCTCTCTCTTTCTCCGTTCTCTCTTTCTCTTCCACGTGCGGGATCTCTTGTTACTTCACGCCCGGACGTATTATTACATATGTACCTGACTCGCGTCTACGTCTCGCGTCCTCCCTCGCGGCAGCCAGTTTTCGTAACCTCTCGATACGGATTTCGCGACCCATCAGCTGTCAGCCACCACCGTAGTTTGTGCCACCTGTCCGAAACTCATGCGCGCGCGCACGCGTGCGTGCGTTTGCTGTCTCTTTTTTTCTCCGTCTTACCCTCTCTCTCTCTCTTCCTCCCTCCCTCCCTCCCTCCCTCCCTTCCTCTTTCGCTTCTTTGCTCCTCGCCGCGTTACACGCTCTCCCACCTATCTACTTCTCGTCCGGACGTTAAACCGCACCGATTTTACGACTTTACGATTAGTTTTCTTCATCGTAGTTCTTTTTAAGCTAATGCATGAGATTTCCCTTCGAGAGAGAGAGAGAGGCGTGCGCGCGCGCTCGCGCGATTGACGACAATCGACGATCGGAGCGTGCCAGCTCCCGGAGTAGAGAAAAGGCTTGTTGATATTTCGGCGCGCAGGCTTTCTGGCATGACAGCGCGACCGGCCTTGAGCCCCCCCGTGCCCCTTTCCCCTCCATGCCCACGTGTCCCCCGCGCCTTCCCTCGCGCCGCTCTCTTCCTCCGTGTCCCTACTACAGGCGCACTGCACGACTACTCTATGGACCAGTGACGCTCAACGCGCGCGACGATTCCTCCTGCTCCGTCCAGTTCTCGGAGCTCTTCCTCGATTTGTACATATATGTATAACATAAATTATTACATGTATAATATATGTCCGTCATATTTCTTTTTTATACGAGATGTGCAAGTTTGTCCCTTTGCGTTCAGGGACATTCGATTGTGTGTCACATACCTTGATCGAAATTACAAAAAGGGGCGAATTTTCTGGAATATTGATAATTTTAATGGTCAACATCTAGTGAGTTTGCTCACTTTTGTAATCTTCACGAAATTGTGTGATACATAAATCGAATCTCTTTTATCTCGATTGCGGCTTTGGGTATATTTGGTTGTTAATTTACATTTTATATTTATATTAACTAATGCATGCGGTATATTTATGTTAACTAATAAATGTCACATGTGTCGCGAATACATACGCGATTACCTATCCTACAAAATACGTTATTCAAAAGATGCTAAATAAACGCGTATATATGACGTATAAAAATAACGTATCGGAATATACCGTAGAATTACCATATTTCCGTATAAAGAAATAGACAGAAGCGATGTGTGTATATAAACTAGTGGATTTTTAAATATTTTTAATACTTTCGGTATACGAGATCGCGTCGAATCGATAAATAAAATTTGAATATCGACATATTTATGAGTTTTTTAAATTAAAAAATGCGAAATCTACGCTTTCCACGCAGACGCTGCACAAATTATGATCTGATTAATTTTACAAGAAGATATCAGAATTTTTAGAGACGGTCATTATTTTTCCGTCACGGAAAGATCATCTTCAAATTTACGACGAAACTTGTCGAAATTTATATTATTTATATTAGAAATTATATTGCCTTTTTGCACATGTGCAATCTTAATTAAAGATAAGCGTTCATAATCCGCGAGATTTATAGATTGAGAGGTGCGTTATCTCAGTGGGGCACCACTGCTCCTTACGATCCCGCTCACCCCCTTCCCTTCCGTCCACTCTTCTCAGTCTCTTTTCCCCCCTACTCCCTCTCTCTGTTTCTTTCTCCTCGGATCCCGATCCCGATCTCGTCTCATCGCGACGCGTCTCGTTCGGAGCGCTCGGGCCCTCCTCTCCTTTCTCTCGCAGCGCGCGCGCGGACACGAAATCGCCGCCGAATCGTCGAGCGGGCGTTTCTCAAGGTAGGAGAATAAGTGACCGAGAACGCGACCTGAGAAATCCGTAAGAGCGCGTCAGACCGCGGCGCGGCGGTGTTCGCGGCGGCGATTGAAGGAGCTGCGAAAAAGAGAATGAGAGAGAGAGAGAGCGAGAGAAAGAAAGAGGAGGAGAGAGAACGCCAGACGGGGCGCGGAGAGTGAAGGCGAGAAAAATCTTTCGCTCGCTCGCTCGCACGCTCGCCCGCTCGGATCTCGGAGCGGAGAGAACAGGAGAGAAAATGAAACGGGAACGTGTACGGGGACGGGACGGGCGTTAGCCCGTAGCGGTATACAGGCGTAACGCGCGGTGCGGCGGCGGCGATGGAGCGATCGCGACAATGGTATCGGTGTTGTATACCCATTTGCTTGATCGCGGTCGCGACGACGTGGCGACCCGACCCGACCCGACGCGTCGCCCGTGTCCCGTCACGTCGACCGCGCGTCCCGTCGCGTCGCCTCTCTCGTCTCGTCGGATGGGTCTCGAGATCGAGCGCTCCACCTTGACGACTCCACCTACATCGCGCGATAGAACGCTCCGCGCGCGTCGTACTCGCCTTTCGCTTCGTCGTATCCTGGTATACAGGGTGCTCCAGAATTGTCCGATCGGCCGGCGCTAATAACCGTACGTGTAACTCGCTCGGGAACGTTTCTCGGAAGCCGGATCTTTTTTTTTCTCTCTCCACGAAATTGTCATCAAGATTACGTCTATACGTCTATCGACGACCTGCCGTAATAATCGTAAAATTTCGAGAAACGATTATTATTGTTGATGTCATAATCAAATATTATCGAATCACTAAACTTCACGCAATTTGTTTTATCAGCCTTTTTTTTATAACCCTGTATATTCGCGGCAAGTCTATTTCTGTTTGCGAGTGTTATCGTATCGTATATTGCAAAGCTCTTGCGAAGCGCGCGACAGGATGAATCGCGCCAACGTCCTTCGGCGGGAAAAGAACGCGCGCACGGCCGATTAGATTAAAATGTTTGCAACGTGCGTCTAGGTATTACGTATTACGCGACGGATTTGCGCGCGGCTCGACGGCGCGGCGGTTTCGGCGCGGCGCCGCGTGCGAGTGAAACGGCGAAAGTCCGCGCGTTGCACCTTCGTTTGACCGCTGTTTTTTCCGTGCCGCCGGAATGATACGAAAGGTCACGGAACGCTTAGAAGAACTTTCTCTGCGTTTGGTGGTCGTTAGACTCGCGTGCCAAGTAAAACTATATTTACCACGCCGACACGCCGCCGCCGTTGCAGTGTGCGCGTTCTCTCCTTTTCCGAACTACGATTTACGCGGAGAATCGATTCGATCCGCGCGCAGGTAAAATGTTTCACAACGAGATGCGATTTCGCGTTACGCGCAGGGTACTTCTTTAAGGACCTCCGGGTAAACTTTAGATGTACTTATTTCTCGTATTTCTCGAAAAATCTGAGATCGAGGTTTCTCTCCCGAAGACACTCGGTGTCGATATTGATAAGCTTCAGTTGAAATCTAAACGTTGAAATCTCTATCACACGTACAAAAATTTTAGTCGTAATCATAAGGCTGTAAGCAAATTGACCAATCACGATCAAAATTGCGGTTTAGAATGTTCGACTGCGATTGGTCAATATGCTTACGGCTTTACGGTTACGATTAAAATTTTTGTACGTGTGATGGCCTTAAAAGCGGAAATAAAATTTTATTTTTCAACTAGTATTTACTAATCGAAATTTTCCTTGAACAATCTTTTTCATTAAGGATATTTAACTCTTGCATACGATGGGTCGTTTGTGTCTGAAATAATTTTCATCACTTTTTATAAGTATTAAAAAATAATTAAGTGATTTTTTACATTTATTTTAACATTTAAAAAATATTTGTAAAGTTGCGTATTAAAAATTGTATATAATATAAAAACTACAGTCAACAATGTTATAATTAAAGTCGACATGAATGCCACTAAAAAAAGTAATCTTGCAATTATAGAAAGAGTTATTTAGATACGAAAAATTAGTTAAAACAATAAGCGATTAGTATACACTGCGATACCACATATGTTTTGTATTTAATCAATATAGATAATAGAGACAGAAATTATATCTAAACTATTTGTCGAATTTAGCAAGAAAGTTTTTCTATGACGTTTAATTAGTCCAGACTCTAATCATATTTGGTTATGAGACCAATATTTTCTTCTATATATTCTTAGAATATTGCTGCTACGAATTCTATACGTATGACAGACAATTTTTTAGCAGATACAAAAAAAAACAGTGATGTAATTTAAATGTAATATTTAGAATTCCAGCTGGAACAGCGAAACATTTCTCTGAGTGATGACCTATACGACTCGTGTGTACTAAGAGTTAATTAAGAACGTGGGATAACGCGTTTTTTTCATTGAATATGTTAAAAACTATAAACATATGTTGAACACTAAAAAGTCCTGAAAAAAATTCGAAAAAGATTACGCCGCTGAAGTTTCACACACACACATACATACGTATAAAATAATCCTTTATATAATCCAATCGGAATGACGTAAATCCTTAAAGATCGATTCATCGGCATTAGTAATCATG